AAAGTTGGGCTCTGCCCGTGTGCACGGGCAGAACCAGCGAGGCTTGGTGATTTCAGTGTCGTTGACACAGGGCTCATTGAGCAAGAAAGTCGGTTTGTTCCAACAAACCAAGTTGCAGTGTCTAGCGGACACGCAAGCCTCGTTGAGGCAATAATCGATTGGAACTGCAAACGTTCTCAATCTTAATAGGGGAGGGTGTGACGGGGTTAGACGTACCCTGGAACAGGGGTGTGTGTCACACGAGATGGGCATGGTGTGACCACACCCAAATAAGAATACGGTACGTGGCTGGGTAGCCAGTAGTTATTTATATTTTACTTTATATTTCTGAGAAAATCTATACAATTAAAATTAGGAGGCTTTGCCGCAGATAGAAATAAATAAAGTCAGTTTTTGGTGCAAACTGAAGAGTTAATTAGCCCTGGGTTAAGGCTATAATTACTCTTGGAGAAAGCGGATTGCGATCCGCTAAACTTGTACTTGTTCTGAGTATAGAACGAGAGGTCGGTGACCTAACTTACGCCTCCTCAAAGCGCTAACCTACGGCAGCCCCGCTACTGTGACTGAATACCGGTCAAGCACAATGTCTACAAATTGGTCGAGCTTTAAATAGGATAGGATGTGTCACACAATGCATTAATCTGGGCTTTATTATAATAGATGATAAGACTTCTATAGGAGTGATATCTAATATTAAGTACATCATTATTTGCTGAATCTGGTTTGCTTTGTTGACGTGGACTTAACCAGTCAAAGCTTCCTCTGTGCAAGGTAATAGGGCAACCTTGTTGCACTAGGTCAATCGGTCGACTGAGATGATAGTCTGTGAGGATGTGTCATCTTACAGGTGAACAAACATGCTTGATGGGCCTCTGTATATAGTAAGATCGGAGGGGATACCTTCATCCAAGTCTATAGTATGAATCTATCAAATGTGGCGCACACACAGCGCATTTGATAGATTTATCTTTAATAAAATGTGCTATCAATCTTGGTTTGGAGTAGTCCAATTTTTTAAATGACCTTTTTAAGCGCACATTATAAATACCACATCTGCACTCTTTTGAGAGTAAAATACTGGTGTCATGATTCAGCAGGTGACAATCGGCGGACGAACCTATTCAATCTCAGAAACATTATGCAGTGCTGAGCTAGCTCCGATTTTTGAGGATGCGTGGACGTCCTCGCGCGTTTGGGAAGCTAGTCGGTTCCTGGCAGAGCGCCTTACTGTCTTTGCGTCAACGTTAGTTGCCAATTTTAATGTCTGCGCCGGAAAATCGGTACTGGAGCTGGGCAGTGGATGTGGCCTTGTTGGCCTCGTGGCGGCTTCGCTGGGGGCTAATGTTTTGCTTACGGATCAGGCGCAAGCGCTAGAGCTACTGAAGCGCAACATTCAGGCTAATGTAAAGTCTGAGAACGAGCGAGAGCGTCTACATGTAGCTGAATATATCTGGGGTTCTGAACAGGCGCTGCCTCACAACTGTTTCGACTACATCCTTGTGTCAGATTGCATAAACCCCATCTATGGCCGAGAGAGCTGGAGGAACCTTGCGAACAGTATTTGTAAGTTCAGCAATTGTAAGACGACGACCTATCTAGCACATGAAGCTAGAGGGGATGACGAAGCAATGACAGATTTTTTGGCTTTTAGCGCGGATATGTTGCAGTGTAAACAAATTGATCGACAAGGTAGGATAAGTCTCTATGTCATTAGGAAAATTTATATGAGTGATAAATAGAATTACTTTTATCCAACAGACGGCTATTTTTTTGTCGATTTTGGATATCACGTGAAATGCTATTATCCTTCATCGGGATGTTAACTGCAGAAAAATTTATCACGATTGTTAAAGACAGACTTCGATATCCAATATTCACACTTTCCATCGCCACTTGGGGCCAGGAGGCCAGAGATTTATAGAATGCATGCACTGTATACACCCAAGCTATACACTCAAACATATCGAAATGGGGCAAAATCTCGATTAGAACACTGACCCACGTATGCTTAATATCGATAAGATAGAAGGTCGATTTGAGTTTGTGATGCTTTCACATCGACACTGCACGAAGGATGCGTGTGACACCTTTAACTCGTCATACTATATGTCAACATTTAAAACAATAGTGATTATATGCAGAACTAGCAAAGTATTGCAAAATGCCAATTTTGATCGAGACGATGATTTATCGATGATCACGCTGATGTCTTGCTTGCTGAATAAGATTCGATGCCGAAGCTGCTTGTGCCATCTTTAAACTTCGTTTACCGATTCTCTAGTGATCATAAGTAGACATCTGAAAATGTTTCGTGAATATAATCTTAAAAAATCTATCACCTTTTGCTTCAAGGAGTGACCTCTTCGTGAAGCTTCCTCAATTGCAATACCAGATGGGAAATTGGGAGATGCAATGGACAAATGTGATGATGTACCCTCAGCAATCATAGGTCGCTGCTCTTTACTAGGCTGATCTTGCTGGTGCAATCGTTTTGATTGGTACTGTTTTTCGCCACTGCATCCAATTAGTCGCTGCGCCACACCATGTGAGCATGCATGTGAGTTATGAGTTTTTCGCAGATAGATAAATGTAAAAGTCGTATGCCTGTTGAAGCTCTTCCTGTCCGCGAGGGCAATTATCAGTTTGCGATTCACCGACGCTATCTACATATTCATGCGAAAGCTGATCTTGAATGACTCTTGCTTGACCCAAAGCGTCCAAGAATGCTGGACATTGCTATGGCAATATAAATGCAAAAACTTTAAATGCATTTACTTTACGCGATACCAAAATTCAGACCTTGAGTGTCGAAACACTTTTTTCCAATGCACCCAAACGCCTCCCGATAGTATCTAAGGATTTCGTTCCGATCTCGAAACCAACTTCCTTCTGTGCTGTTTGGAGCTGCTTGATACGCTATTAGTGCTGCTAGTCAACAAAAATAGAAAAATACTTTCCGTGGTCCTTGCCGTCTTGCATGCATCTTGGTTAAGCCTGTCTCCGATAGTGTTAAGGGCAGCAAGCATATTGTTCCTCTAGAAAATGCAAATATTATGCAGGATGTTATGTGGGGTAAATTTGTAGAATTGTCCAAACCAAATCGTCTGCTCGAATATCAAACAAATCTTCAGCAGCTGCCATTCTATCACTGAGTTTCTTACTGCGGTCTTCGCACGTCTGCTGAGCTTCAAGAGCACAAACTTGTAGCACCTTCAACGCACACTTCAGTTTGCTTTGTCGATTGAGTAAGTCTTCGACCGAAATTGGCATTGTTGTGGTGCCCACGGGGAAAGCAGCAGCATCACCATTCTTGATGTCATCAACCTCGGATCGGAGTGCTACCATGGTGTCACTTAGAAGGTGCTGACTGTCGAGACACTTATTTAGCACGTTCTTCATCTTAATGTGTCCGTGCTCCAGTTTGTTTTGTAGCTGGTCAAGTTGCCGCTGAAACTCAACAGTTTGTGTTTTGTAAAAGTCTGCGGTCTCTGATGCTTCGACCCGTAAGAATGCATTCGCCTTATTCACCAGATTGATGCATAAAAAATCAACAGTTTATCGATACATTTCTCGATTGCAAAACTAAAGCCCTGGCATTTACCAGTTGGATCACTTTTCTCTCCAGCTCGAAACTATTTTCTGACACATATGAGTGGATTGTTTCCAGCTCCTACAGCACCAGAGCGGCATCATTATTTGTTGTCATCCTGATGTCAGAAGACGATAGATATGCAACGCACCTTGTCAAGCTTATGGAATGCCGCGTCTGTCACTTCCTCGACTTTTCGCTGTCTCGTTATACAACTTGAGTGAATTTCTTCGATTCGAGCACCGAAAGCAACTACTTGCGCTTTCAACTTCTCAACCTCTTGCTGGGTTTGCTCTTTGACATCATTCAGAGATAAATCGTTCGTTTCTACCAAGCGCAGCAAATACTTTTGGCATTGCCGAAATTGTTCGTCCAGTGTGTCAACCCGCGGAAACTGCCGCTCTAACTCGGCCGAAAGTTTATTAATCGAGCAGTCGAATTTGGCTGTGTATCCTGCAATCTCACTTCGTGTCTGCTGCGATATCTGCCCGACATAATTCTGGTTATGTTCAAATACCTTGGAGAGCAATCCGACCTTCTGGTCGGTAGCACTGTGGGCACTCTCGATCTCTGCAAGGCGTTTTTCGAATGTTTGCGAGGTCAAACACGCAGCCGACACTCGCTCTAGTTGCACCTCAAGAAACGAGATATATGCATTGCGATCCGTCAATAGTTTTTTTGCATTTTGTTCGCCGCAATGCTTGAGCATGGCATTGCTGCGCATATAGTCATTATAATACGAGCCGGAGCTCTGCGCCATGTCTTTATGTATACAAACTGGTAGTTTTAGGCGTCGGTTCAAGGCAGAGGGCAATATTAAAAGCGAAGATATGGCGGCGGCTCTAAACGAGGTTGAAGAAGTGATAAAACAACTAAAGAGCAAGCCTGGATTCTCATCGTATATTCTTATGAACAATGATGGTATTGTAGTCAAGTACGAGAACCTTGCGTACAAAGAGGCAACAATGCATGCATACCATGTCCTCAGTCTATACGGTCGCTCTAAAAAACACATCCACAAACTCTTCCCTGATTCAAACGAAAACGAAATCGAGTGGCTACGACTGCGCACTAAGATGCACGAGATGATCATCGCCCAGCACCTTAAATTTACGATAGTGGTGCTTCAGCAACCACTTACTACAGATACGTCAGAAGAACCCAGTCGTCGCGGTTTAATTGTAGAGGAAGCTACGATTGGTGGTAAGGAGGAGGAAAAAGCGACATTAAGTTAATTGAGATGGACCCACAAGGAATGAAAGCTACATGACTATAGGATAATACCAGAGCGCGGCAGCTTGTTGGGCAACTAATTATCTCGAGAGATCCATTACAACCGATGCATGATTAGGTTGAAACAAATAACTTTGATGATCTTTTTGTTTGGCTAAAATAGCCTCTGTTTGAGTACTGACCACGCACTACGAATCCACGCGTCACAATGGACTTAATAGCCGATGGCAGCGGCTTTCACAACAGTCCCGTGGCTTTAGTCGCTGGGGCTGCCTGCTCGCTACTGCGACTAGGTCTGCTTCAGTCTCTGCTCCTGTACACGACGCGTACATTTTCGGTGTTAGCCCAGCTCTTGCTTTTGCAGCTCATGATACACGCTGTCATTTATCGCGGCTCGAAAAGCTTTAAATTTGATTCACAGCGTCTGACTTTAAGCGCCGCGCACCGACTAGCAAGTCTTTATGTGGCAGTCCAAGCTCTTTGCCACTTTGGATTGCTCTTCGCATTTCTATTGCAACATGCGGATGTGCTATTGCTACACATCAAGCGATGGTATGGCGTTGGAGACAGAAATAGCTCGTTACTTCTGCTGCTAGGATATGTGCTGGTAGCAGGGGTCAATGCAGACAAATATGGGGCTTTCTTGCATACGATACTCCTGATTGGAGCATCAGTAGGACTACATTTGGCCGCTCATTCATTGATGCTTCAAGCAGACGGTGACGTGTCGCTAGTTTCCATTGCTGGAGCCACGATACTCGCTGCTCTGCTGGCGTTCGTGACGCCTGCTGATTTGAACTATGCCCGATATACTGCCAACGATCGAGCGAGCGCTGACGAAGGCGTCATGAGCTCGTCCACATGGACAATTTACTTAGTAGCTGCCGCTGTAAGTCACTTTGCCTCAACTTCACTTAGAAGGCAATTTGCGTTGCTGTCAACACGGGATCAAGAGAAGGCACAGCTAATGTTTACAATAACGGGTATATTGCTGGCTATTGTCATCGCATTTTTGAACTTCGGCTGGCTCCGCGCCTCGTTACTTGCTGTATCTTGTTCCTTGATCGTTTATGTTATGTTGCGAACCTGGCAACGTCTTGGCACTTTGTCTCGACAAGAAGGGGATCTTGATACATACCGAAGAAGCTCCGCATGTAGGTCTGAGAATGGCGGACTGATTTTGAGTGCATCGCAAGTGCTCGCCGTGCTTTGGGCAAAACGTGCCTCGCGTCAGATGCTCATTTTTTTGTCGATCAATGTCGCCTTCATGTTTATAGAGTTTGGAGTTGGTTTGTATACGAACTCATTGGGACTGATGGGTGATGCCGGGCACATGCTCTTTGATAACGGTGCCCTTGTAATTGGTCTAGTGGCCTCGTATATCGGACAATTGCCACCTGATCCAACGTTTACGTACGGATACGGACGCGTAGAGGTTCTTTCAGGTTTTTTAAACTCGTTGCTGCTGCTCGTGGTGTCGTTCCATCTCATCACTGAAGCGGCATCGCGCTTTACGAATCCACCAGAGGTCACAACGGATCATTTGCTCCTAACTTCAACCGCTGGATTGCTAGTAAATCTTGTCGGGCTCTTTTTTTTTCATGAACATGTACATGGCCATAGCCACAGCCATGAAAGCAATAATAAGAGCTATGGCAGTGGACATGGACATAGTCATGGTGTTAGTCATCATCAAGCTCACGGTGAAATTGCCTTCGATGATTGTCAGACTCGCAAAAACTCCAATATGTATGGCGTCTACCTCCACATATTGGCAGATACGCTGGGCAGTGTGGGTGTCATCATCTCGTCAATCCTTATTCATTTGTATGAGTGGCACGTTGCTGACTCAGCATCTTCTGCACTCATCTCACTGCTCATTTTGACCAGTACGCTTCCATTAATTCGTGATACGGCTCGACAGTTGCTGCAAGGAGCTCCACGTGAGATACAAGGTAGCGTAAATGCAGCTTTACAGGAAGTCCAGTCATCGATTCCTGGGGTAGAGCGAATTGCACAGTGGAATATCTGGCATCACGCAGGAAATATGCATGTTGCGACGTTGCATCTTGAGGTTGCTGTCTCGGCAGATGAACAGCAAATATTACTACAGACGCAATACATCTTTCGGCGTCATGCACGTCTCGACGAGTTTCTTTCTGTTCAGATTTCAAAACCTAAGTTGATTAGTACAATAGGTCATGAAGGACTGATGATGACTGGATGCAGCGCTGACCATGGCCACAATTATGACCACAGCTATGATCTCGATCATATTCATAGTTGTCACCATGCTCACAATCACAACGAGAAGCTTGTGCTAAACAACGGCATTTATTTGTCCGTGCCACCTCATCAGCATGTTTCTGGTATTGGGCACTCATGAAGTTTCAGTGAGTGGTAACTTCCATTACGTGACCACGCAACTTCTCTCGAAGTCCCATCACTTTCGCTGCAACGATCATGATTGAGCTATATCCTTGAATTTCATCTCATTTTTATCCCAAGATCCATTTTTTTACGTCAATAGATTAACGCAGCACAATTATGATATGGAAATGATGTACGCTGATATGAAAAACGAGAGGAGAGACTTGCAGTACTTAGAAGAAAATAGAGTGATCGTTAAGTGGGCGCGCTTCATCGTTGTTCATTACTAATTTCAGAAAACCGCCTATTTTCGTCTTGTGGAAATCGCATGTGTTACAATCGATCAACAGCAATCCAATCTAAGCTTCTTCCGATTGACACGCGTGCTTCGCAATCGCTGGAGCCAATTCATCTACCTTCTAGGTTAAGAGATCGAATCATACGTGCTCAACGTCGAGCTAACGCCGCCAAAGATGGCGTTGTGAGTTTTGCTGACGATATTCACGACCGGGCTATTTTAGGGACTGCTACAGCAGCAGTGACCAACGTAAGCGCGAATCTTGATGAGAGATCACAAGCGACACGTTTTTTAAATGCGAACGCTGGAGCAAAAGTTAAAATGCACTTACCTGACGTCATTCTCAGTCACAAAATGCGAGACTTTGAAGCTCGTGCGAATGCAAAAGGAATTATAGTTACAGCTTTAGGGAAGCCAACTGATCAAAGCCTGCAAAGCTTGTCGGTGGAAGAACGCGAACGGCTGATGTCAGTCATGTATACAAAACTTCGACAGATAGCCAGTGAAGTCGAGGCAAAATTTGCCAGAACCACGATGACATTGGATGCGAACGGAATTTTTGATCCATCAGCCAACATTCAGCGTGCTCAAACGCTTTGCCTCGTAGATTTACAGCGCCACTTCAGACTTGATAAACTTCGAGACGAAGCCATGCGCGAGGCGCTTAACTTACCAGCATCAGCGATGACAATCAGGCCGATGGTTCAAGCAGATACCTCGCAGACTGCCAGTCAGCTTCAGCTAGGAAATCTTGCTGCGACGTCAGCCACAGATTTAAAGAAACGGAAGCCAACTCGTGTCTATAAGCTCTCTGCGAAAGATACTTGCAAAAGTAATTTAACGTCGTCTTTGTCGCATTTTCGTCAGCCTAAAAAAGCAAGTATCGATGATGATCAGATATCGACCGTGACGCAAACGCTCATGCGCTGTAATGGACTTGCATCAGCAGCATCTGCTTCTCACTTTATGACACAAAAGGGAAATATCCCTTCTATCATCACGAACTCCAATGACTGGAACTCGCATGTGGTACATGTACAACATATCTTGGCGGCCGGAGAGATAAAATCGCACAAAGGATCTGATGCTTGGAACGAAAATAGTGCCGAAGCTGCTATGGACTTTTTCCGAGTAGTAAATTCAGCAGATGAGTGGGCCCGGCGCTCTTTAAATATTCGAGCGGTTGGCACGCGGGCAATAGAATTTACTCGTCATTGCAGTGAACGTCAGCGTTCAGATATATTTGACCATTTTCGCTCCAATAGCCCTAGTGTGGGCATATCTACAAATTTTCGACAACGTCTCCATAGCCAGCAAGCTAAATGGAGAAAGAATGCTGATTCTGTTGGCGTGGGTGAGGCTGGCGGTGCTTTGTTTGAATTTGGTGAAGATAGTGACAACAAACAAAAACGAAATGGAGAAGAGTATGCAGATCTTCAGAATCATATCCGAAAGCGCTTGCTTGCTATCAAAAGTCGAACACGCGCAGCAGCGGTACGATTTAAAGATCCTTCAGTTCGAGCGCGTCATCTGACGTTTCCACTGGAATCACCGACCAATCTACTGGCTTCAAGCAGTTCGACAGCACCTGTTTTGAATTGTGCGCTTGCTTCGTCGGATAAAAATCGTACCTTTTCGCCAGAAGCTGCAGATTGCAATATCACCCTTTGCAGATCTGCGTCAGCAGTAGTATCACGTGTTCCTTTTGATGAAGGCACAATTAATTCACAAACGCAAGTGCATTGTGGACCCCGCGTACGTCTTACGACGCCAAAGCACAAAGTAATGTCGGAAAATATCATGCATGGGCAACGAAGGAGGTCACTTATTGGTGCCCCATCCTTACATCGACATTTTAAAAGCATTGGCCGCCACTCAGAAGCTCGAATTGCTAATAGACGAGATGCGAAAGAGACATGGGTCTGGCGTCAACCGCCAGCCGCAGTCCCGGATAATGTAGTTGACATCATTTTAAGGAAGACGAAAAAAACTTGTAATAATGAAGAAGCATGCGACCAAGGTGACTCTCGATTAGAAGAGGAAGAGGATAATGGGTTGATTGACGGTGAAAATAATTTGAAAGGCGTCGAAAGTTGTGACAGTGACATTTCAGCTCGCGGTACAGTTAGGTTGTCGCTTAGGGAACGAAACATCGGCAAGTTTATCAAATCTAAAGTCAAGAGCAACAAGTCACCGACTTTATCACGTCAAGCAAGTCGCAATATCTCTGTGAGGAACGTTTCGACAAGTCAAGCTTTAACTTTCCAGGCTCGAATAGAAAGTATCTGGCGATTGGTGCAGCTTCCTTTTTCCGATAAATTGAGTATGCTGGAGCGGCTATCAACGCTGCAAGATGCTGACGCCTTCATATCGGCGCTGGAACTCTGGGAGCGCGTCGTTTCAATGTTTGATATTCGTCAACGTATGAAGCTTGCATTGCTGAAATACGAAGAGTGTGGCGAGTTGCGGCCGAGCGAATGGCTTTCACAAGCTGAAATTGCGCTGGTTTCCGCGCTACCGTGGCCGTCATGCACGTCTGGAATGAATTCGAATGCTACACATCACGAAACTGCAATGTCTTATGTTGATTTCAAAACTTCGTCTAACTTCGCTGTCTGGGTAAGAATATCATCTTACCTGTTAAAAATCGTGTCTACCAACTGACCCCGTTTGGAATGCAGATTCAGGAGTTTTTTGGTGTTGTAACATTGCAAACGGAAAAACTTGCTATAGAACTCAAAGCCCGTACGGGTGAAGACTTTAAATTTCAAGGACACCCTTATCCAAAGTGTATATTGTAAATGTAATATTTGGTGGTTGACCGAGACGGTTTACTGTTTGGGCTATTACGGTGAATCATCTCTGTTCACTAGTATTGCTTCGGTCAACGGGTGTTTTGATGGAGGCATCTCGTAGATCTGCCCACGCTTGGATCGCAGCCAAGAGAACACCAACACCTGATAGATAGACATGTATCGTATTTAAGAAACAATCAGTTCATTTGGTAACGTATGTTCTTATTGGAACCAACCGTCGCCTGCTGCGAGCTTGTCAGCACCTGCTGAACAATTCAATCCAAAACTAGCCATAACAGTGTTGAAGCTGCCTGTCTGCAAAGCACTAGCAAGGGATCCAATGCTTTGACGAAACTGGGGTGATCGCAGCTATAAGCGCAAAAATTGTTCAATGTTACGAGTTAATATCGTGTTGAAAAATTGATGAAATATTTCGTCGGCATACTGTAGCACGAAGCTCATCAGGAGTCTGAGAGCCTTCAGGCAAGTGCGGAAGAAGTGCTCGAACGCAATCTGCATCATCTAGAACCATGCTTAAATTGTCAGCACTGAGAAGCTTAGTCATTGACACCACTTTTCGTTGCTAAAAGGAGCAAACACCAGCCATTTTTTTAGAATTCAAAACTTCACAAAGCCATGAACACCCAACCGCAAATTGCTGGAAAGAAGACATAGCTCGCTGGAGATCAGCAGTCGTAAGAGTTCCCGCTCCATGATTCGTTGATGTGGGTGCCGCAGTAGCAGCATAAGGCGCAGGTGTGGAAGATGTCGAGTGTGTAGCGGACGAATTTGCAGGATCTGGAAGGAATAAAATCAATAAAATGCTTAAACTGTTAATCATACAGACTCGACACGACCGTGATCAGAAAACCTACAGTGCAAAACCATATGAGACATCTAGAATTACAGTTTTGTTTGGAAAGAGGAAAGATTGCGCTACTCACGTGGATAGGAAGCAGTGGCACGCTAAATAAAGAGAATATAGTACTTTTGTAGGTAAATTACATGCTACCTACCCACACAGGTTCAAGTCTCTGGTTTTGCTCTCTTTTCAAAACTTCAAGATGACGTGTCCATATTGCCGCCGCTGCTGCCGTTGCCACGATTTCCGTCACGGTCCGCCGGTCTGTTATCACTCTCCGAATCACCTGCTCCAGCGTTGCCTCCACTGGCGTTCGTACTGCCTCCATCGCGCATACTTTCCTCGATTGCTAGACGCAGTAACTCGTCTTCATCCATTTCATCTACTTCCATGCTTGCGACATCATGTTCATGCTGCGTCGACGCAGTGGTTGCAGCTGCCGAGCTGCCACCTCCGTTCTGTGACGCTTGGGACGATGAAACAGCGGATGTTGCGGGTGACGAGGCTACTGACTGAGCACCTGCAGGTAGCCCCATGTTTTGCAAAATGTTCTGCAATTCGGACATTTGCACAGCTTGGCCACTGCCCCCGACGCCAGCACGGCCATCACCAGCTCCCATGGCACCCAGCATTTGCATAATGGCGTTGTGGTCCAGTTGCACGTTGTTACCAGATCCGCGGCCACCTTCATTGCTGGTAGCTGCCTGAGCATTATTCATGCAGTCGTTCACCTTCTTAACAAGCTCTTGATCACGCGACGCGTCCTTGTTCTACGATAGGAATCGGAACAAGAAAATACATGAAAAATCAGGTTTGCTCACGAGGCTGGAAACAAAGAATTAACGAACCTGCATCCAAAAGAAAAATCGACGGGACGAGTTCTTGTACTGCAAGATATAAACACGGTCGTCGGGGCGGCCCGTTTCCACCTTGGCAAAATGCGCATCGTCTGGAAAGATGATGAAATCTTCAGGACTTGCACCCGTCTGGCGATCCACCCATTGAAAGTGTAGTAGTTGATCATCCCCGCGCGAAAGACACACTTTTCCTTTCTCCAACTGTGGCGTCACGACGAACTTGCCGTTAGCAGTGGGTTTGGCTGTCATTTTGCCAGCATTAAATGACACCAATTCATTCTGAAACGCAAAAAGGTGTAAACACAAGAAGAAGAGATTTTTAACCCGATGTACAATGTACCCACCCTGCCGGCGGAGCTCGGCGCAAACACGTTGCCAAATTGTGGGAAGAGCGACGACGCCATGATTCTGAAATTGGACAACAAGATCCTATAACATCCATTCGATTGGTGCAAATAATGTTGTTTAGGTGTGTAAGTTGCGTATTTCATAAATTTTCACGTCATGGCAAAGCAAGTGCTCAAGTACCACGACGTACAACTGTACGAGTCGGATGTAGCGCTGTTCACAGGTTCTCAGTGGCTTAATGACAATGCCATCAACTTCTACTTGCAGTACTTGACTCAGACGGTGGTTCCACATGACATGCTACTGATGGATCCGGCAGTAGTGTCATGTTTGCTGCACCAGTGCAAGGATGAGGACGAATACAAGGAGTTGGCAGACGGTCTTGACTTGAAAAGTAAACGAATCTGCCTGATTCCAGTTACAGACAATGTTACATTGGGTGGAAAAAGTAGCCATTGGTCGCTTCTTGTCTACCGCAATGGAGATTTTCAACACTTTGACTCGAGTTCGGGCCATAACAAAACTGCGGCACAGCGCGTAGCGAATTCTTTTAAATCAATACTGCAAGCAGCCGGAAGGAGCGACGAATTGAAAGATTTTACTCGAGTCCAGGAAGTACAAGACGCTCCGCAGCAGCAAAACAGCTATGACTGTGGTGTATACGTTCTAATTGCAGCTGAGTTCATAAGTCTTCAACATAAAGGCGAGATAGAAGTGATGTATCTGAGAGATTATGCAACACCTCAGAGAGTGACAGCTTTGAGAATGCAGATGCCCAAACTAATAAGAGGTTTGCAGGACAAGTGGCAAGGAAAAGTCTAGGATTAGCATAACACATTTATCCTTCGTAAAAAATTATGATAAACTAAATGTATCCATTTAATGCAAGAATATTATTACATTCGTCTGTAGTTAAAATGCAAGTTGCGATAGTACAATATGGTGCGTTGGTGGTGTTGGTCGAGCTATGCGGCAATTAATCAAAAGCTGATGGTTTGAAATACTTCACGGCATTGCAGATCCACAGCTTGGACAGGTGAAGCGTAATTTGGATGTCGGGCGAACTTGTCAATTACTTCACGATCTATGAAATGAAAAAAACTGACGCTTTACTATTGCAGTATGTGAATCAAATGGTGGCATCGCTGTGTAGAGAAGACAAAATTGACATTTTAATGCTTCCAGAGGTAACATTAGTACAACTCTATTCATAAGTAATCCTGACTACAAGTTGATGTTGCGAAGATGGCGTTTACGGGTTACGTTTTCAAATCCAAAGCTGATGTGACCCAAGTGGCCGAGGTGGCAGGTAAAGGACAAACCTTCAACTGGTGTCGGCAACAAGCGCGACGGCTGCAGTGCATAGTAACTTGCGGGTATGTGGAGAAAGAAGGAGAGCTGCTATATAACTCCATGTTGGTTGTAAGCCCTGACGGCGAGCTCGTGTGCAACCCGCGTAAGACGTTTCTGTATGAGACCGACAAATCATGGGCAACGGCGGGTAAAAGCTTTTACACATGGGACTGTCCGTGGCTTGGCAAGACCATTTCCTTTGGTATATGCATGGATATTAACCCAAACGACTTCAAAGCTCCTTTCTCCGCGTACGAATTTGGAACACATGTCGTGGAAAACAAGAGCGACCTGGTGCTATTCGCATGTGCCTGGAACGACTTTGAAAACCATGATATAGAGCCGTACTCAACAATTTCCTACTGGGCCCAACGTCTTTTTCCGGTTATACATTCGCTACAAAAAGGCGAGTATGTTAAATCTAACTGCCATTTCCTATGCTCGAATAGGATTGGAACCGAGAATGGCACGTTTTTCGTTGGTTCAAGCTGTATATTGTCACTAAAAGAGCCTGCTATAATTGCACACGCTGGACGTCGCACTGAGGAGCTACTTCGTGCTGAGATTCCTCACCAGTAGATCGCAACGAAGTATTTCGAGAAATAAAAGTATTAAAGGCAGAAGAAGTATGGTTTAAATGGGCTCAAAGGACAGAAAATGTAGATGAATGAACTATAAGGCATAATATCACGAAATTGCATGTTTGGCAAATGGCGTTTGGAAGATGCGAGCGCTCGTTGCCGCGTTGCCGTTCGAGCACTGATCCACTGCTCCCAATTCTGGACAATTCCGTTTTCTGCAAGGTCCTCTCAAATGCGTAGAGGCATGTATACAAAAGTGAAAAGCAAACTAAGTAAAGAATGCTAACCTGCATACAAGCGCGTTTACATCGAAGCAAGCTGACAGATTAACGGACTGCACTCACACGGAATACAGAAGTGAACCCGGTTGGAATGTGGATGGTGAAAGAGCAACTGATGTATTAGAACCAAGGCATTCTCCCTGTACCTAGCTCCTAGAATATGCACCTGGACCGAGACCCCCCCGAGGCCCAGAGAAACCCCCGCGACCCCGTACGCCACTTATTCCGCCAAAAGCCTTCTGGATGTTCGTATCCGGATCTGTTTTCCAACATGCCTTCCTCGAAGCACTCAGCTTCGATTCTCATGCGGCTGGTTCATAAACCCCATCATACTACACAGCTTGGCTAGTCGAACCTTGTCGAGTGGCTTGGTGAGCGCATCGGCCGGGTTGTCTTCTCACTTAAACTTCGCGAGCTTAGTCAGACCACGCCGCACCTGGTCACGCACAAAGTGTCAACGCAGCTCGATGGGACGCGTGCGCCGCGAATAAGTCGGGCTGGTAGCCATCACGTGTGCCGCACTATTGTCGATACCAATGACCGGTCGCTCGTGCATAGACGGGATTATCTCAGACAATATATTGAACTGCACTTTCGCTTCCATAGCAGCTTCACATGCAGCCACATACTCAGCCTCAGCCGTGGATTAAGCCACAATTGACTGACGCTTGGACATCCATGTCACCGCTACACTCACCAGCATTAAGACGAACCCGTTCGTGCTCTTCCTGGTCTCGGGGTCACTTACCCGATCACAATCACAGAATATGCTAGGGGTCAGCTCCGTACGGGCCCTATATCCCTTCTTATACATAATACCGTGCGCCTGAGTGCCCACAAAATATCGTAAGACGCGCTTGAGCGATGCCACATGCTTCACAGTCGAGTTCGCAACGAATCTACACACTGGCCGAGTGCAAATGCCAAATCCGGCCTGGTTCCGGTCGCGATATACATGAGCATGCCTAGTGCTCCCAGGTAGTCAAAGTTGGAGTCGAAGCTGTCGTCCTCCGTAGCTGGTGCGAGTCTCGTGGTGGACTCCATGGG